GGACACCAGCAATGAAAAAGATAAAATACACTGTCATGTTTCCTAATAAGACCTAAAATAAGCTAAATTTACTATTGATTGATCCATATGTTTATAAAATATTTGTAAGAAAGCTTCATTCTGAATGATGGAAAAGGCTAGGGTGTAACTACCTCCCAGTGAATGAACATACTTGTCCAATAAAGCTTTATATCAGATCAATAAATAAAGAACTCTGTCCTTTTATTAATGTTAACTATTACAAATGTTTAAAATATGTTGTTAAAATGCTTTCCAATGGGGCTGGGAATGCACTTGAAATTATACATTAGCTTAAATGCTTTGTTAAACTGATTTCATACAAGTGTAGGGAAAGAACCAGAAGAATAAAGAGCTAATCTTCTAAAATACTCGTGAATAATTTTACTTGTAAGTGAGTTTGTGTGAACAGAAGTTAACCAGGTTTGGGTGTACTTCTGTAATATAATCAGGGTAGTAGACTGTAACATAACCCTTGATAAATATGATTTAATTTGTGACTACTGTATATGCAAAGTATGGCCCAAAACATTAAAAACCCTATACTCATTAGTTCCTTGTTTAATCTTTCAGGCTGAAATGGTCTGAAATCTTTAAAGAGAAAACAATATCTTATGGATACTATGTTGATTTATACAGGCAGCAGTATGCCATTGCCTACAGATTATAAAATGTAGTCTTGTGGCAAAACAATACCTATGTTAACATTAATGGCAAGATTATTCTTGACTTCAATGAGGGAAGTATTTCAAGTCTTTCTTTTAGTGTTTAAAACTCACAAAGTGTAGTTGCATCTAAGGAACCTTAAAACAAGGCAGATATTAGTGTTTCTTTAAGAAGAGACACTTTTTCTTTTCCGTATGTTTGTAAACTTCCTGGCTATTATTTTATATCCAGAATAATATATATGATAATATATATAATTTATCATTTGTGATTTGGAGCTTAATCTATAATTTGCTTCCTTAAACAACTGTTTAATTTTAATTAACTGTTTAATGCTTTCTAGAAAAATATAAAATTCTGTATCTGAATATATCTGCAACAGCCATAAAAAGGATTTAAAATGTAAATTAGTGACATAGAAGAGCAAAAATAAGTTAAACAAAGACCTGCTGATAGCTTTGCAAAGGGGGTGTTTTCAAAGGGGTGATTGCAGCAGTTTTCAAGACATTCACTGGAGATAGAAGTTGCTTTGCACAGTACTTTAAAACACTCTTAGTTTGAAAAGCATGGAAGATAAATTAGATCTGGTTAGGACCAAGCCCTTCTTCCAGATCCCAACTCCAGTAGATTCATGGGAGTTGGAGCTGAGGAATCCTTCCCCTCCGTCCATGGAGATGTTGTTCAGCTATGACATTAAAGAGCAGTTTCTGTACAGTTACTGTAATCTAAAAAGCTCGTAGTGTTGGTCAAAATGGCTGCTACTAGTTGTACTCTGTGCGTTTGTGCATGGATGCATATGTCTGCATGTTCTGAAAAGCTGGTGCTCTTAGGCCAAGTACAGACAGTCAAAAAACGCAAGGTGGAATGGATTTAATTTTCACAGGTTTCTCTAAGCTGCATTGCACTTGGGAAAGGCAGGAGGAGGCCTACGCTGACCCAGACCAGAAAGTGGGGGCCACTAGAGCATGCTTCCCAGCCTGCTGGCTGTTGCCCAGCCCAGCCCAGCCAAGTGGAGGCCAGCATATATTGGCAACATCCTGCTGTCCCCTGCGGTGGCGGGGGGGGGCACCTAAGCCAGGAATCTGGCCGTAGTGAAAGCCCCACACCTCTCTCTAGGCCAGCCTGTGACCCCCCCCGCCTCTGCCCAGTTCTGGTGTGCCCAGGTGTGGGAAGGGTAAAGAGAATTCCCCTCCCCACCTCCCGTAGGGCTGGGCTGCACGAGTCACTATCACGCAGGCGAGAGGGGAAAAGGAGTCCCCCCTCCTGGGGCCAGCCCCTGAGCTCAGTGTCTGCCCACATGGGGGGCCCTATACCAGGGATCCCCCTGAGCCTGGTTTGTCCAGCCTCGGGGGGAAAAAAACCTCCTACCTTGGTTTCAGCCCCCCAAGCTGAGGTCTTCCCAGCTGGGGGGGGCTGGGCCCCAGGGTTTTCCCTCCATGCCTGCCCAGCTGAGCTGGCTTCGTAGAAGGATTGGTTCCTGCCACCCAGCATGAGCCCCAGGGGCTGCCCGGTGCATCTTGCTTGGTGCTGCTGGTGCCAGGCTCCAGGGGACATGCCTGGCAGCTGGGGGACTTGTGCTGGGCGTTTGGGATGGGAGAACTCCATACAGGGCAAGATCAGGCCCTGCTGCCTGGCACAAACCCCTCAGGCTGCTTGGCACATTCCACCAGAGCCCAGCAGCAGCAGCAGCAGCAGGCAGCAAGAGGTGCTGTGCAGCTCTGGGGGCTCATCCTGGGTGCAGGGGATGGAAGTGCTCCACAGAGACCAGGTTCAGGCCCAGCACTCAATGCAAGCTCCCCAGGTCACTTGGCACATCTTGGTGGCTACTGCTGGTGCTGCTGCAAGATGCACTGGGCAGCCGTTGGGGTTTGTGCCGGGCAGCAGGGCCTGATCCTGCCCTGTATGGAGTGCTCCCATCCCCACCACCTGACACAAGTCCCCTGGGCCACCTGGCACATCCCACCATAGCCTGGCAACAGCAGCAGCCAGAAAGATGTGCCAGGCAGCCCCAGGGGCTCGTGCTGGGCAGTGGGGCCTGATCCTTCTTTCTATGTAGTCAGCTGGGTGGGGATGGAGGAAACCCACTCAGGGCCTGGCCCTGCCCCAGCTGTCAAGACCCCAGCTTAGGGGCTGAGACCAGGGTGGGGGACTTTGTTCCCCCCTCCCCCCTGCATGTCAGTGATTCATGCTGGCCCAGCTGTACAGGGTCGGTGAATCATCTCCCTGCAGCTGGGCAGACCAGGGCTGGGGGAGATTCCAGGCTGGCTGGAGGTAATCCCCCAGGGGACCTGCCCAGCTTGAGGACTGATCTTGGGAAGGGGGACTCTTTTCCCCCCTCCCTCAGTGGGTTAGGGAGTTGTGCCAGCCTGTGCTGCTGGAAGTTCAACCTCGCAGACCAGGACTCAGGGCCTAGGCCGGGGGGCTCTGTTCCCCCACCTCCCAGTGCATCTTGGGATGCTGGGGGCTGAGACATAACTTGTGTTGGGAGGGGATCTGAGACAGAAGTTCCATAGAGCAGGTTAACCTAAATCAGGAAGTCGGATACTACATCTATCCAGGTTTATCTTAGACTGGGTTTGGCCTTTTTGAAACTTGTTTATGTGCAATGAACTTCTGTTCTGTTCTGTTCCAGGTTTAAACCAGTTTCCAATCACTTATACTATAGTTTATGTGTAACTTCTGTCCCTATCCTTAGAGACTGTCTTGAAACCATCTCTTAGGCTGCATCCAGCTGAGCCCGGCCGTGTGGTATGTAGCAAAGCAGATACTTCTGTGCCAGCACATACTGCACATTCAGGTGTTCTTCATGCTGCAAGTTAGCACTGCGGGGGATCCTGGGGGGTAAAAAAATCTTGCACGAGAAAAAAAGCAGGGAGGCACATGTGGAGACAGCCATACTCCGGCTGCCGGCCAGGCTCCAAGTAGCAGGGTTGCTGCTGCTGCAGTCTCAGAAGGCCCCCAGGATCCCAGATAGGACTGTGGGGGCCATCCCAGTACTGCCTCCAGCCTCCCCTACCCTACCCAGCGTAATCTGCTGCACTCCAGGGGACATGTGGCACAGGCCTTCGCCAGGGACGAGTAGCAGTGGCATGAGGTGAACTGCAGAATTTGTTCTATCCCCCCATTTGCAGTAGGTTGCAGAAGCAGCACAATTTCCCATTGTAGTCATCAGGATATAAATGCACAAACAGTTGGCAGATTAAAAAAAAACATTTAGCACATCCCAGTGCTCACCTTCACAGGGGCACTTGCAATATCCCCTACACTTAGAGAGCAACTTACCTCAGCTACTTCTAGAAATGCAACTACCACAGGGTGGTAAAAACACCCACAGCTTACATGTAGTGAATGAAGAAAAAGGAGCTACTTATGCAAAGTGTGGCTGTAGGCACTTCAGGTGTAGAAACAGATGTTTACCTAGTGCCAAAATCTGTCAACATAGGCAGATGAGACTTTCTTTATTTTAGATCAGACATTTTTTAAAATGCTGTATATGAAGGTCAAAGCCTACTTTTTTTGCTTGCTGGAAGCAAAGTTCAAAGGAGCCAGAGTTACAATTTAATTTTCTAGTCTGTATCATTCCTCATTAGGTACATTGTTAAATATATCTTTTGTAGCCCTGTGTTTGGAACAAGAGCAGAGAAGTTGCACCTTCTAATATGCAATCAGCCCCTTTGTCCAATGTTTTTTTATATAATTTCAGAATTACTGTTGTGAATGGTATGAAATGATTCAAGGGCCATTTACATCTTGAACATTTCCTTTGTAAGCACTGACAGTTTACTATGCAGCTGTTTGAGGTTCTCTGTCTGAACAGGTTTATATGCAAAGACTTTGTACCTTCTTAAACTCTTATGGCAATACTTCCTTAAATTAAGTATTAGAGGAAACCATTCCTCAGGACTGCATAGGTACTGGGTGCATCGAACCCATCTGTTTTTTAAACTTTCTCATGAAACCTGGAACACAGATTTTCTTTGAAATAGGTGCTGCTTGGAATTACATTGCTACAAAGATTTGACTTTTGGTATTGTGTGTGCGCGCGCGCGTGCTTATGTGTGCATGCACACGCATACACAAGATTAGCACCGGGAGTCAAAGTATCAATGATCTTTGTTTATGAATAACTAAGTCATGATTTGTGCAAATTAATTTCTCTCTGTACTTCAGTTTTTCCATTTTAAAAATGTCTGTAACAATAATGATAATAATGTATATAATGATAAGAATGTATTGAGAGGCTTACTTTATATTTGTAAACTACTTTCAAATGCAACTCTTCAACTGTTTCAAAAGGAAGTGTTACATGTTAAGCACCTAGCAAAATGTGAGCATAAGTATGTGATTATACCATTTTGTGTGTATAAAAATGAAGGCCAGGTAGAGGCCCGGTTGAGATGTTAACAATATGAATGTCAGTCTTAATAGCAAAATGTAAATTCATGGGGAAGCTTGATTGTGTGTCTATGCCAATTAATACTTATTATACTGTTCATTATGCTCCCATGTACAGTGAAAGCCATGGCAAGCTGAGTTGACCCTTCTCTTGCTGCATTATTTGGAGTTAGGAGCCTTTTCCCTCAACAACTCTTGCTATGTGTAAACACTGGAAAAAATTAACATAATGTAGAATATCTGAACTAGAGCTATTGCCTGTTTATATGCCAAGTGTTCTCTTTATGCAGGAGCAAAAGCATCTCCTGACCCCAGTACTGAATATCTGAATTATCTGAATATTGTAAAACTGGAATTTATGAATATTTGATCTAGATTTCAGGAAAACTGCCAAATTATGGCCCCATTGAAATTGGTTGGCATTTTGCTACTGACTTCTTTGGGAACAAGAGCAGACATTAGGATTATTCCTGCAGATCTTTTGCCAATTATCAAAGACACCTTAAGGGCCAAAGAGATTTACAAAGAAGCTATCCTATGACATGGAAGTGGAGGAGGGGGAATTTTCTTGAGGAAGAAATAATCTTTCCCTTCTCTCTTATAACTGCCTAACTGTTCCTGTGAATTCTTCTTTATTGTATCTTCTTTTTCTGTTGTCATAATCTGGTTTCATATGTTAAATTCTTTATAATTAATGTGAGTGAATGTTGCATGTGATTTAGGAACTATGCTGGAGATCTGGCTAATACATAGTGAGAATGGGCCATAGGCCATAATGGCTACTATATCAGTCTGACTAATTGAATACAGATTTTTACCCTGCTGTCTTTTTGTAGCATGGGAAGCACTTCCCTACCTACAAT